TTCTCTGTTTTCTTGGACTGGCCGTCGACTGTCACTTCCACATAGGGACTGGGACCAAACCAGTTTTTCTTGTTTTCTTTCAGTTTTGCTGATAGCACTAAACGGGGAGAATACATAGAGTAAATGAGCAGTCAGATGTTGGAGTCCAAAACAAAACAAATAAATTGTTTACAACTTTAATTTAGGAACAAAATACTAGTATGAAGGCAGTGGGGGAACAATTATTTGATCCCCTGCTGAATTTACAAGTTTACTTACAAAGAAATGGACAGTCATTTTAATGAAGAGAAACAAAGTCCCAACCGCTAAAACTCTAAACCCTTTAGGTTTCTAGGCTGCCGCTTGGCAGCTTGAGGTTTCTGTTCCCTTCACAGATTTTTCTACAGGATTCAGGTCTGGAGACTGGTTAGAACACTATGTGACCTTAATGTGCTGCTTCTTTAGCTACTTCTGTGCTGTCTTGACAGTATGTTTTGAGACATTGTCATGATGGAAGACTGATCCACAGACCCATGTGCATGTCTACGACCCAGCTGCCGTCTTGGGCAGCTCTTTGGTCTTGCCCGTGGTGACGGATATGTTGGAATGGAAGAAATTGATTCTGTGGAGAGGTGTGCTTCATACACAGTATGAGTTGAGATCAGGAATATAATAAATATAATTGACTGACTGATTGTAATTAGTGGGAGCCAGAATTGTGGTGTGGTTGTAGGGGATGAAATTCTTATTTCACTCTATGACATGCAAATCAGTTTGTTCTGGATTTTGTGGTTGGTATTCTCTCACTCTATTATTACCATAACAATTAGAGACTGTTCCTTTCTTTGTGAATGAGCAATAATACAAATGTTGTTTTTTTAACTGGTAGTAAAAAAATATGCAGTAATAGCAAGAAGCACAGATTTTTACATCTGCAAAACTTAAGCAGCTATCTGAATGCTCAGAAATAAAATAAGTCAACCTGACTTTTATTTTAACCTCTGTCTTCTTTGATGAAGACCGAAGACTCACCAACGATTTGTAGCTGTGCCCTAATAGGGTATCCATTGGAAGTGCCCGACTTGGTGGCTCCACTGGCCATGACATAGGGCTGGGATAAAGGCCTGTAGACAACACATCATTAGGTTGGTGACAATCATGCAGAACTCATACAGATATGACTAAATGATCTCATCTGTAAGTTGCAGATGTGCACCATACTGGTGAGATCATTTAGCTCAAATATATTTAGCTTACACTGTGAGCTGAACTGATTTATGACTATTAATAGGTTAAAAAAAATATAAAACACTACATTAAAAAGATTTATATTTCACAAATTATCTCTGCAAATCTATGCTGTACAGTAAAATAGAAAAATATCAGAGCTTTAAGCAAATTTTCATTAACTACAGGAGTTATACTGCTACTATATTTCTTACTGAAATACTCTTAAAATGTACAACATCTGAGATTAAAATAGTACACAATGACTTTCATTCATACACAGTCACAGACATTTGGTGGCAAAGCTGGGAAACAAACCACTAACTATTTGATTAATGGAAAACTCGCTCCAACACCTGTCTGTCAAGTGCTCTGAGACTACATTTGTTGCAACTAAAACTGAATTAATGTCAATTTAATCAGCTGCAGTTCAGCAGTCAAAGCTATAACAGTCAGTCACTGTAAGAACCTTGCAAGATGCATAAAGCACATCAAGCTCGTACATCTTCCATTGCTGACACAAAAGTATCATAACTGTGGGCTCCAAATTACCTCTAATGCATATTTCTTCCTATATTCCTGTCATTTTACAGTGCAAATGCTTTCACTGGGTTTGGCTTGAAGCAAGCAGCCTTTACCCGATTATCTTCAAAGTCTAAGATAAACAAGAAATACGCCAAATCATTATTCTTATTCTGTGCAAACAAGTTAGCTTAGCTCAACGGACACCCTACTTAGGACATCAGCAACATGCATACATATTTTTTCCTTTGTACAAAGACTTCTACCTAAATAATGTCATCACCTGGAGAGTCATTTTGAATAGTAGAAAGTCTACATTAAAAAAAATATAATTGTATTTCCTTTCAGGATTCCATCCTTAACAACACTAAACAGTATAATGACCTGTTAAACGTCAGCAACAAGAGAACAGACTGACGGTAAACTCAAAATGAAAAGAATATCAGTTCAAGCAACAGTAAAAGTCTCCTAAATGCTGCATCATCATGGAAGGTAATAAAAGACCACAAAAGGAGGCAAAGGCCAGGGCTGCAGGCTGTGAAACCTGTAAGGTGGCTGTAAAAGCAAATCTTATGGGTCTAACAAAAAACTTGTGATCTTTGTCACCAGTCTTCACTTTAAGATCACAATTTCATTTATATAATACACGAGAGCAATTACATAAATCTCACGCCAAAAATACACCGACAACAGCAATAATTGGTTCTGAGGATAAGGTTGCCAGGGCCAGTTATACTGTTTGCTTATAAGCATTTCAACAGTATATGAACTCCAAAAGCTCTGAAGCAGGCCCTGTGATCTTTTCTTGATTGTGGTTACTTCAGTGTGGCACTGAATAATGCAGGGTCCTCGGCTCTAGCTCATCCAACAGTCTAAGCACACAGCAGAGCAGGAGACAGTGAGGAGCTCCCGGGTAAACTTTCACGTTGGCTACTGGTCTCAGTCAATAATTCATTATAATTGCTGACTTTGCATCCTTGCAAGTAGGCTGAATGTGTATCATGGATGAGTGTATTTCCTGGATACTAAACTGGATTTTTGTGTTTTCAGCTAGGCAACATCTCCCACTATTTCACAAAGTGCATCTGAGGTTTCTTGAAACTAATCTGAACTCAGACTGATTCAACTATTGTCTGTTAGTGCTGTGGTGTTGCAGCTGAACCAACTATTTTGAACAGTATGACCAAAACCGCATAAGAGGAGCTTTTCATTACTATATGCTGAACTTCTATTGTCAAGGTTGCTAACACCTTGTTAACTCACATGGGTACGCTGTTTACATCATGACTAAGAGGGCAAAACAATGCAGCACATCAAAACAACATACCGTCGCAATGACGAACACAAAATCTTTGTCAGATAAAAGGGACAAATGGGTTTTCTAATATTACGATTCAAGTAAACAATACTCAAAAACCGTCATTATAAGTAAAAATCGGAGACTGTTGAGAACAATTGCGACTGAGGGCACAAAATAACGTAAACGTCATTCTTGCATTATGTTTACAAAGCAATGATGTCAAAAGAGTAAACTATGCGGTCAGGACAGCTTGCTAATGGAGGGCACTTGGGAGCAGTGACGTTTGACAGGTGCAGTCAGTTTCCCGAAGAGTCAACAAGCTTCCGTATACCTTTAATAACACTTCTTTTCACTGCTTCACTGACACGAACCCATTTATAATAATATGAATTCCATTCCTCAATAGCGTACTGAGAAATGACTCCATGACGTCTAAGCGTAAACATTTAATCGAACTACTAAAATATCAGATTGAGTGTGGCGCACCTTCCTTCGCAAATGACAGCACATAGCTGAGAAGAAACTACCCAATGTACCTCCACATTCCGTGTCTTGGATGCTAAGCTAAGAAACGTTCGTAAGATTACATAATTTAATCCAACAAGGAATTGATAACAAGCTAACGCTAATTCGGTTAGCCGGAGAAAGAAGTACAGTATGCCCTGGTTGCCAAAGTCAAAAGCCATGAAGCTGACCACTTTTAGTTATGTTCGCCGCTGTGCCTTTTTAACTAGAGTTGCTGAGTACGTGTTGAATGTCAGCTGGCCACCAGAATTGACAGCCTGGTGCCATCCCAGCCCAGGCTAATTACTAGCCTGCTAGCTTGTGTCATCATCATGGCTGGCTGGAAATCCCAAAGTCCAACGGCTGTGGAAAAAGCTAATATCACCGATGAGAAATCTAGTAATTGGCTCCCATTACTTACCGGAGTCCGAGCGAGGAGCTGTAAAACTAACGCGCTGTACCTAAAGTGTCCACCCAGCCTTCGCTCACCAGGATGTTTGGGTTTCTGTTGGGGGTTTCACTTCAAGGAAGAAGAAACTTCCACCATCTTCGTAAGCTCGTATCACGTGATCGAAACAAGGTGGAGCGCGCACGCTACTCCCTCTTTGTGCCGTGATAGGACAAGAGTTGTAGTGCTACGAACCAATAGAAGGTCAGTAAACATAATGATGCATTTAAGGTACTTGCAGTCTACTCATAAACCTTACGTTAACGCAATGTTTTTAATGCCATGTGCAGCATTTTTTTAAATGACGAATATATTTTTTCGTTGCTTAAGAGTAATACAATATATTAATACTTGATATGGAGGATATCCATTATCTTCTGTGGCAAACTTGATACATAAATGTGCTTATGATGTGTTTAGTGAAAATAAGCTTAGGTAAATACAGTTAGAATAAAATATCCACAAATCTCTTGTGTGCAAAAATAAATTCCTGTTCAATCTTAATCTGTCCTATGTAGTTCTTGACAATGTAAAATTTAACATGTCATTAAAATATCAAAAGACTACTTGATAACCAACATATTTTGTATTTGACTTTAAATGTACTAATATTTCTAATTTGGTTAGAAATATTTCTCATGGAGGCTGTTTCGTATTTACAGATGGTGGTCCAACAACAAACGGCAGATGGAAGTGTTGTCCTGTATAGCTGACTGTAAGGTGACTTAACCGTTGTCACCTCCTCAGTGAGGACAAAGAGCTGTAGGGACAAAGAGAAGAGTGTTTACTAAAGCTTACTAAATTTAATATTACAATAGGTTAATATACTACATATTGCGTGTGTTATAATTCATAGATATTACAATCTAATAAATATAACATAAATGTAAAATAGGATGTATTGTACTATACACTTAATGAATACAAATATGTCAGTTCAGTTCCGAGATGCTTTATTTTGAAAGTGCTAACAGGAACGTAGTATTCGCTATGACGTTTGTCTTGACTCCTATAGCGGGGTGGTCGGGTTTGGTCACTGTTGATACAGAGACAGCATGAGACAGTTCTCTGCTCGGATCATGCAAGCATGGGGATATTTGGAGGAGAAGACAGTTTGACAGCTAACTCAAAGAAAAGGTAAGACACAAATCTCAACATCAGGCATTAGGAACAGTCCAGGGCACGACTTATTACAATGTTTATGAGCCTTCACTTGAATTGTGGCCACACAGCGCAAGATGCAAACGTGTTGTATCTTATGAAAAAGAAAAACTGTACCAATGCAATGCATAAGAAAAGTTACTCCATGACTGTGGAAAATCCACGATGTAGGCATGTAAATCCGATACAAGGTGTCTGTAACACGTAGTAATAATCATGCACGTTGTATTTTTCGCAAAAAATAATAGAACTATTTATGAGTATGTTTATTATGATAGAGAACAATAAGGTTTTTGTAGCTGACACTCACTGAAAGCATTTTATGCAATATTAAAAGATTCTAACATTTTTTTCCCCTTTATGGGGTTTTGTATATAGGGTTCATGCAAGTTGAGGGAAGGTCACACCCTGAGCTGACTCCTTGGCTGCTACTGCTGTTGCAGTTCTAAGTAATATATGAATAGAATACAGAGGGATAAAATAGTGTATGCCATGATTATCTTCACTACTGCGAAGCACAGATGGCAGATGGTCAACATCAGGGAGTCTGCAGTGAGTCAACATGGCATGAAAAGTAAATGACATCTGACAGTGAAGATGGACAATATAGCAATGCTTTAGTGGGAGGTGATAGTGTTTCCTGTCATTAGGAGCGCTCTGAGATTCAATCAAGCGCTAGATGGCTTCTAATAGAACAGTTTTTTAAAGCAGTAAGCAATGTGGGGAAGGGATTTCTGCTGAAATTGACATTGCTGTTGTAAAATCTTCACATCCTTGACTAATGCTGGTTGATAAACTAATTACAGAATGCAAATTAAGGAAGGTTTCCCCAAGTGCTCCTTTTGACATTCAGTCTGACTTAACAGCACAGAGAGTAAAATAATATAGGAAACACAGAGGTGCACACAAGCTTGCTCGAAGTTGTTCACAGCAGACTGACAGGTGCTTTGTTATTTCTCTTAGCATTTGCATTTCTCCCGGGTGATTTTCATTTCCTTCTACATGCACATTAGCAATCACTAGAAAACCTCTGCAGACTGGTAGGACCTGCTTTGTATGTGTGTGTGTTTAAAAAAAGAGAGATAGAGAATCACATGCTCTGTATAAGTGACTCTCACTTGTTTTATTACATTTCTATCAAAACTTTACAAGAAACTTTTATGTCAACAACAGTTTCCTGTTTTGCTTTGTGCTTTTGTTTCTTATATTTGCCATTCCAATTAAGTTTCTTCAAGACTACGCACTGTGCTCTCGACCTAGTGTTGCCAAGGTGTAGTCATCATACCTGTGCATTCTCAGCTCTCAGACCACCTCATTGCTTGATTTCTTGTGAATGCTCTAAGATGTTTCCTGGACTTTGCATGTGCCTGTGGGAAACTTTGCACCCCTGCACTCTAGTGTGTGTCTGAGTGGAACAGCCTGCTCTTGCCAGGCAGCTATCAGTGTATTAATAGGTGTTTGAGCTGCTACTTTGGTCCCAACCCCCAACTGGCTTTTCAGTTTTCATAACACAAACAGGCCAACAAACCCCCCTGCCCGACCCCCACCCCCCCACTGCTACATAAAACAAAACAAAAAATAAATAAAAATCTGAGCTTATTTTAGGCTCAGTGGTAGATAACTGACAGTTTGGGTTGCATGCTGTATGTTAATAATAGGTGGTGAGTTGCAGGGTTTGTTGTTAGGTAGCCTAAGATGACCTGTCATTCAGTCATAGATAGGATTTTTTTTTAGATTGTGTTATCTATAAAACTTTAGAAATAAAGGTCATTTTAAAGGTTATTTCTACAACAGGAAGCAGCTTGTTGATGTCACATTTGAATTATTCCTTTTTTTACATGGCTATATTAGATTTTCTTTTTCCTAGGAAGTTGAATAAGTGGAGGAAAGAAAGAACAAGACTGAGTCTGTTTATTCTCAAGGGGAAACTAAAGAAGAACTTTAGTGTGATATATGGGAAATGGGGGGAAAAAAGAATCATAGTAGATGCTTTGGTGGTGAACATGGTGTCAGGCTGACCATATCTGGGAACTGTGTCAGGGTGTGCTTGCTCCCACGCTGGCTGATAGATGGGAAGGATGGCTAAACCTGGCATATTTACCATTTTATTCGTTTTAATTTCCCTCTGTGTCATCATTAGCCACAGGTGTTGGCAGTAATCTGTTAGATGGGAGCGCTTGTGTTTGGTTGGATAGAGCAGTTAAGAAGATGTCAGACTTCCTCTATTCACTGGTCCGTGCTGCTTGTGCTTCTTTTATGGTCCCAGGGACAAAAAAGTATAAATAAGAAACAAAAAAGGAACCGCATGGCATAGCTCCAAGCTGCAGGAGCTATTTTTGGGACCAGCTATGGGAACATAACCAAGCTCCCAATAAGTCATACATGGACAGCATGGTGGCTGTAAATCCTGGTGCTATTGGTGGGCTGACTCTCATAAGTGATTTACAGGATCAGATAATGTTAAGAGACCACTTTCTGCACATCTTGCCGTTGTTCATAGCATTAAACAAACACAGAGCCTCAACTGTAGAGTGTATTAAATCAAACAATACGTTTTGTCTGGATCACTTTACAATGTGGAGATCATATTTCTTTGAGGTCACTCTAAGTAGAAAGCATTTGTTTTATGAAAGCGCTGTGCATCCTTTCCATCACCCCCTGCCGGTAGGTTCAAGTACCCTGTTTGACCTGTAATTAAAGCTCCTTGTGGTTATTGCATAACAGGCTCTTGTGTGTTGACTAGTTGCTGGCTCTTGTTGTTCTGCAACAGGTTAGTGGGCAGGTTTTTAAACTATGTCTTCTATTTCCAAACAGCTGCTTATAAGATGTGTGAGTATAGCTATTGCCAGACAAAAGAAGAAAGAAGCTACCTTCACTTTGTTCCTGCATTCACAAGGGGTCACTTGTTTTTTTTTTTTTAATTACACCAGACAAATGCAGAAATGCAAAAACCTCTGAAATTTTTCAGTTCACTTTTGATTTCTGAAAGGAGTTATCAGCCAGTGTGCACCAAAATGCCTCTGGATGCAGCTGGACAGAGATACACTCACAAAAATCTGTAAAGCACTAATTATATAAAATTATAGGTTCATTTATTCATAATAACTAATCATTAAGGAAAAAATCAAGTCAATTTCATTTGACCAGATCTGATCAAATTTAACATTTTACACTGTACTAATGTAACATGGAAAACTGAAATGTAATCAGATTACTTAAAGTCAGTATTTGGGGCATAAATATTTTTTTTCAGTGTACAACCAACTATAGCAATGAGTCAGCATTTCTAAACAGATCATAACATGCAGATATGACTCAGTAACATATCAATGAAAATCTCTTTGCATAGAAGGGAAAACAGAAACACGAGACCTCAGATCAGCCTGGATCCAGGGTTAGCATTGTTACGTAATATCAGTATTAAATGGAATCAGATACAAATATGATGTGAAATGATTCAAACATAGTGACAAACATACTGAGAATGAGCTCCTAACTCTGAACCGCCATGATGCTTGTAGATCATTGCCTTGCTTTTCAAAACACATTTATCATATGGTTGAGTCTCGTGGCTCTCACTAGCTGCATCAAACAACAGACAAAATAAGGAACCATCTGCTTAGCAAGCTAAATACCTGAGTGTAAAAGCAGTGTTATATGGGGGGGATGCAATGGAATTGACACTATACTAGATACACTAGATATTTCCACTTTTGCCAGACTTACAAATCAAGTGAAAAACATTTTATAGGATGTGTTTTTGGAAACATTTCTGAAATTAGAAGCAAGATGTGGGGTGCTAGCGAGGTAACCTCGGGTTTAATATGAATGGTTTTTATGAAGCAGTTATTTTCAGAATATTTTCAATTCAGTTTAGTTAGAACTAGTGAGATATTCAACTCTCTTCAAAGCTAAGCGTTAAGAGGTGGCTTATTCAGAGACCAGCAAAATCATATCTTTTGCTGACAGGCAGCTTAATGAGGTGTTTTTAGATATAATCTTAATTAAAGCCCTAAAGACTTGTGCAGGTTGTCACTATAAGGTTGTACAGGTTTTTATTGTTAGTTGTTTAACTACTCACCATTCAGCACCAACATGGATGCAATATTAAGGACAAGTGTAATCAATGCTACATGCACACATCTAAGAAAGACATTAATTTAGTGGAACACAGAATTGTAAGAGGGATCTACCTTTTTGTTAATGCAGGGGAAGTGTTATTGATAAGCCTTTAAACTTGCACAGTCTGGCCAGAGCCAGCTTTTCTTCCTGGCTTTGGCTTCACCAGCTTTGTCGCTTATTCCTCATATTTGTTTAGGTTTATAGTTTTTTCCTCTTTGTGAGAAAGAGAACAAGAAGTGTGCACTCTCACTCCATGTTTACAAGCTCCTGGCCACAAGTGACTGGCAAGTTGATAACCTCTGTTGTGTGACTGCACAGCATGATTAGGTTTAGTAAAACCAGCTCATGGAAATTATTGGTTTGTGAACAGTACTGAACTATGAGTGCAGATGTGGTAAATAGACATTCTCATCCTCCCGTTTATTAAAAAATAATAATAAAAATTATGTGACGTGTGTTATATTACTTAAGGCAAACAAATGAATCTGTAATGGTATTGATATCTCCAAGCACACTCCAAATTACTGTAAACGTCTGCCTACTTGTGAGAAAAACAGCCTCGGGGCTGCTGTTCAGGACTAGCTGAGCTGCTCTGTGTTGCATATAGTCTGTTTTTTCAATTAGTACCTCCTTGTTTGAAATTACAACAGAGCTTATTTTTCTAGTGATGTAAGTTATGAGCAACAAAGGAGGCCTTGTTTGACCTTTCATACTGTTCATTTTTTTTTCTTTTTTTCTGCCTGTCCCATTTGGTTCTTTAGCCGTCAGAATTGTTGTCTGAAGACCAACAAGGATACCCAATGGATTTACTTTGCCAAATGGATCATCATGGCATTGCCGTATTGGTCCATTTG